ATGATTCTGGGTTGCTGCAGTTGTTGTAAATCCGTGCTGGTTGCCAAGCATCTGACTTGCAATAATGTGATCGTAATTTCAAGCAATCGCTGAACAAATGAATGGTAATCGAGGACTACCTCTTTCCCTCAAGTCATGGAAACATGTGGATATTTTTCTTTCTAATTTCAAAGATTAAAAAGGGATGCCATGGTTACCCTGCTAAAGCATGGGACTCGTAGGACATGGGCCCATCCAGCTTGGTATTAATTTCATTGACGCGTTTCAGCTCAGTAGACCAGGGAACCTGGCATCATCTTCCTGGAAAGCAGATTTTTTTTTAAAATCATTAAAGCACACCTCTTCCTCTTTCTATCAGATTCTAATCGTCTCTGTCATTCTGTCTGTTACCACCTGTTTCCTTTGCACTAGGTAACCTGGAAAGGAAAATAAGGAACAGAAAGAAATGGATTTGAAAGAATTTCCCTCTCTCCTCTTCTGTTCTAATTTTGTGCCCATTATTCTGGCCTTCTACACATACTACTCCACTTTGGAATCTATTCTGTGGTTAGATCACTGTTTAACTACTCCAGGATGATGAATCCTGGGTGAGTCAATGAGAACAGAACAAAACAAAGGAGGAAACACTCAGACCATTTCCAGCTCTTTGTGATTCAGCTCCAAGCTAACTATCATTGAAGAATGTTGAAATATATCTGCTATATCAGACCAAGGATACACTTAAGTCCAGCATTTTCTTTTTCATAGTGTGAAGTTGCTCTCATAAAGAATGGCTAAACAGAATTCGATGAAAAAACGTAATCAGCCTAGATGATCTGTTTAGAAGCAGGGCATACAGAAAATGCTTCCCCTCTGTTCATGCCCTTTGTGTTGAAAAAGAGCGAGAAACAGAGAGTTTCCTGTCCTTGAGCAAACTGGCCTTTCACATTTTCCCTGCATGGCAGGGATTTCAATTTCCACTCCCTAGTCTTTCAGAAAGTGGATTATTTTTATGGCTACTTATCTCAATATCTGGAGAGCAATGCAGATATATCATGATGTTGGGTGAAGCAAGCAATGGGTTATTACAAGAGGTTGAGGCAAGTCTTCAACCAGTAGGGAAACAAAATGCCAAAAACTCTACTGTGCTTCAAAAAAAAAGATAATTTTTTCTCATCCCTAAAAATAAAGTGATGCAGTTAGAACAATTAATCAGTGGAACAACCTGCCTCCAGAAGTTGTGAATGCTCCACACCGGATGTTTTTAAGAAGAGACTGGACAACCATTTGTCTGAAATGGTATAGGGTTTCCTGCCTGAGCAGGGGGTTGGACTAGATGACCTCCAAGACCCCTTCCAACTTTACTATTACTATTACTATTACTATTATTATTATTATTATTATTATTATTATTATTATTATTATTATTATTATTATTATTATTATTACTATTAAATGTGAGGATGAAAAAATTCTTAATTTAGTTGTAATTAAATGAACATCTAAGGATTAGATGAACTTAATAAAAATACCTTCCAACTTTACTACTACTACTACTACTACTACTACTACTACTACTACTATTATTATTATTATTATTATTATTATTATTATTAATCTCTTCTGTCATCTCAACAAAGGATAGCTTCAGAGCTGATTCCAATGATCCTTAAAGAACTGTGCTTAATTCAAAAGTAAAAACTTAAAGAACTCTGTATGGGATCATGCATGTGTGTTTTTTTTAAATAATCTTAAAGCAGCTGGTGTATGGGTAGGTTTTTGTTTCAAATACACTGTTTCTAAACTTGCATGCCTTAAATTTCATTAAGCATTCTCCTGAGAGAATACTGTATATTGATCCTCCAGGGCAAGCTGCATCTATATGTGCAGCTGGGTAGGTTGAACTTTTATTTTCATGCAGGTTCAACTAAATATCCTTATATATGTTAATTCAAAAGTCAAGATCATCTTGTAGCCTCTTAGCCTTCAGATTTAAAAAAACTGAGAGAAAAAATTGAGGCCTATCCATTGCTTCCAATTTCCCCCTTCACCTTCTAAAGATAAGATCTGCTTGTTAGCTCTTAATGGAAAATCTCTATTTCCTGTAATGAAGAAGAATATTATTGTCAGTTCCAAGACTATTACTTCTGTTGTTATAAAATCATGCTTCCTACATGTATGTGTGTGTATATATAGATATGTATGTATGTTTGTGTATGTATAGATATATATGTATGTATGCAGGGCTTTTTTTCTCATAGAACGCCCAGAACGGAGTTCCGGCACCTTTTTTGGATGGAACCTTGTAGGGTAGGCAAGGCGAGTTGTATGACATGTGTGAGTTCCAGCACCTTTTTATAATTATCTGGATATATTTGTTGCGGAAGGGTACATGGCAGGTACAATATCCATACCGATCTGGATATGTTACTGTACATTTATATGTGGACACCATAGGAACAGTCAAAACTAGATTTTCCCTTCCTTATTGTAAGAATAGGGTTAATAGCATGGCACCTGCTATACTTCTTAATCTATTCTCCTGATGTTATTTCTCATTGGTTTTTTTCCCAGGTTTCTTTTGTAACTGTGTGGATTTTGCTTGTGTAACTGTATTATATATATTTCAGTCTAGAGGTAGTATTGTTAATTTTCAATGGAGGGAAAGTAATGTCATGGAACCAGTTCTTCAACATTTGTCTTCATGGATTCAGGGAGGAGAAGTGAGCCTAAGAGTCTCATGATATTTTAGGGTCATAAATCCATTTCTTTTCATTTTATGATAGGCACAGTTTGAAAGAACAATTTGTTTGCTTATCTTGGCACCTTGTTTTCTTTCTATGACTGTTAAGCTATGACAGTGTGAATAAGCTGATTATTTTAAAAATTGTACTCCCACAATACAGTCCAGTGCAGTCACATAAAGTAGTAAAATGGCACGTATAAATTCCTGCTTGAATCACTATGCTTGTAACTTATAGCATTCCCTCATGCCAAAATTATATATTCTACTTCTACTGCATTACATACTGATGTATATATATAAAGAGTGCCTGTATGAGCACTGAACAGCAATTTCTTATCAAGAAAACAACAACAACAGCACGGAAAACAAAAGCGTGTCACGTGCAAGGAGCACTAAAGTGCCAAGGTTTTGCTTTTGTATTTCATGAGCTCTCGCATTCTCCCAGGTATACTGCTAAATTGTCTTTATTGTATGAGGAGGATTGTGAAATCAGTCATGAGTTATAAAGTGTTTAGCTTCACAAGGCTGAGAAGAGCTATAAGCAAACTTCAATACATGGTGAATAGGGCCCCCCGAGCAACTGCATTACAAATATAAGTTAAAAAATCAAGATTTCTGGCTATGGAAGGTTATTTAATTAACAGACATCAATGAGCCATGTTATTCTCATTTAATTAGCAATAGTATATTCCCAAAAACTGAGCCACCAAAGAAGGAAAAACAAAATGGAAATAATGATTTGACCAAGAATTGAAATATGTGTTAGCAGTTCCACCACCAGCACTGAAGTTTGGGCATTTTAAAAGCTGTCTAAATTTATCTCTATAATTACCTGTTCCCCTGATATTGTTCCTTCAACAATGGTTTGATTTTGTTAGTATTCCTAAGGACATATAAAAGGTCAATTGTGGGTGTTCTTAGGTATTTTTGCCTGTCTTTAACTTACAACCAATTAAGAGCCCTCAGTTGCATCTGTGTATTCCAAAAAAAGTGTGATCTGATTTGAATGAAGTTTAAGCATATTTTATTATTTTTGCAAACTCGGTGCATTTTGATACAATGCTTACAACTGTTTAGTAATTAACTCTAGGTTTTTTAGCCTGAATCATCTTTGATCTGATTAACATTATTAAAACCTTATTTTATACAAAGTAGTTAATTTGGGTAATAAGATCTAATTATGTTTATTTCGTAGGCATATTCAAACTTTTTGACTCCAATGAGTTCAAAGTATTCCAATGGCAATGTAGTCATATACAATATACTAAGGCTTGAAGTCATTCTCCATGCATCAATTCTTATAGAGCCAAAATGATAGCATTCATGCAGAAACCATCAAAACGATGCATAGAGAAATTGCATGATTTGCAGAATCTTGAGCAAACGCAGTCCACAATGCAACATTTTATTGCATGCCTGATTATAAAACAGCATATTTAGCACTTTTAACTTCCGCAGTACCTGAAGTGTGCAACTGGGAATACATTTATGTATTTATTTCCCCAGGGAGAGGTGGGTATCGGGTTTTGACTCCACAAATCATACAAGAAAATATGCATAAGCAAATTAAAGCAATAAAATAGCTCTAGAAATAAAATGCAGTATTTTAAAAATATACTCTTTCTCAATAAGATCATGTTTACAGTTAAATATGTCCCAAAGCAATTCATGAAAAGTCAGTCTAATAAAGAATTATTCTTCAATGGGCAGTGCACATCTGTGATCAGAAATGGCTGGGCATGGTCTAAATCTAGGTCCAACCACTGTGTTCTTTTGTGTACAAAAAAAAAAAATACCTGGTCTGATTCTGAAAGGGATGATTTGAGTGCTCTCCTTTCTTTCCTTATTTGGTCTTGCTTATATTTGAACAGGTCTACTCCGTTATGCCCAGAGTAACTGATTAGCTCCAAGTGTGTCTACCCTGACATTTGATTTGATGATTAGATCGCTCCTGCTCATGCTGGTTAGAAATGTGTCAATAGTGAGGCCTTCCAGATGGGGCCAGCAACAATGCAAGCGAGCATCGAACCACCACAGACATTTGATGCTTATAATAATAAAAAGACTATACAATTAGATTAGCAGAGGCTAATTTGGAATGGGTATATTCCCTGTGCACCCTGGACAGATAAAGGCTTGAGATTTAGTACTCTTAGGATGGAGAACTACAACTTCCAGTAAAAGGAGAAAAGCAGCATTCTGGGAGGTCATGGGGGCAGCACAGTGACCTCCAATGATTTACAGGCCTTTAGCTTAATGAAATTGTTTCAGTGACATGACGGTAAAAGCTCATAATGGATTGGATGTCCTAATGTAATGAAATTATTCCCTTCTGCCTTAGAGGGGGGGAAAAGCACAATTAATATTTACTGAGACCTGACAGGCTTCAGTGTGCTGTAGTATGCAGCTCTTTTAGAGAGTCAGTGAGAAGAGACAGAGCAGCGTGGCAGGCTACCAGCAAGCTTTTGCCCGGTGACAAGCAAAGACTGCAGAGGGGTGGAGGGACACCTTGGTGACAGGGAAGCTGAGGACATGGTGCTCCAAGGCAGCGTGGTTACCAGGCAAGCCTTCATCCTTTCCCTTCCTTCCTTCCTTCCTGCAGGCAACTGGACAACAATCAGATCAGCTGCATTGAAGATGGAGCTTTCCGAGCCCTCCGTGACTTGGAGATTCTGTGAGTTGACTTTCTCCTTGTCTCTGGGTGTGTGGACGTGTGTGTGCGTGCATGCACACGCAGAGCCATGCATGTTTGAGTGTGCATGCGTTGCAATGCTTTTATTTTTGTGTCTTTTCTCTGGGTTACCCACATTATTCCTCCCCCCCAGCCTCCGCCTTTTGGCTAAAGTGCACAGCCAGCAAACATAAATTTGTCACCCACTGGTTTAAGGTTATTGTTAATTAAACCATAAAAGAAGATTTGGGTTCTTATGGTCCTAAAGAGCAGAGATGAAAAGCTATGCTGCTTTTTATGTTGAACAGATGGGATGTAATGTTTCTGTAGGACCTGGTGTTTTCTACACTAAAAGCTAAAACCTTAGCAAAGGATGCCTAACAGGTTTGACTGGCACAATTTTGGAAACAGTTTACAATTGACTTAGGAGAGAGCATAATTGCCCAACATAGAGAAAGGCATGGAAGTGCAACACAATGGCTAGGAGAACATCCTATTGTAAAGACTGTGAGCATATTAGCAACTTCATGCCTCTGTTTAAACATCTGTAGTTTAAGTTAGAGGCTTGGTATTCTCAAACAATTTATTTGCACTAGGACAAATTGTTACAAACCTAAGTTATAAATTAAGGCTATTTGTGAAAGGCTTTTTCAGCATTTTAATTCAGAAAATCTTTTTACAAAGGGAATAATGCATTATAAAAAAAAACAAGATAATAGTGCTTTATATAGATGGATTATTTGAGCAAATATTGTTTGGGCTTGATGATAACATGTTCTTAACTATTTTTAATGAATCAAAAGTGTTTGATGGTGAAAGATGCTAGGTGTAATTGTCATAAATTAGAGGTTTTAAGATGCCCAGGAGAAAATCTTCCTTTTCTGATATGTTGAACTAAAATCTCAAACAGTTATATTCTGTAAATATGCAATTTTATTTTGCATGCCAACAAATGTTCTCAAAACTTTTTTGCCTTTTAAAACATATGCTGTTTCAAGTACAGCAAAGAGTCAATGAAATTAAGTCTTACCAAGGTAAGAGACCTGATGGACGTTGTAGTTACCTAAAGCTGTTGATGATAGATGTTTGTAATATTAGCTTGCAAACTGGCTTTTTATTGGTCACACACAAACAGGTACCCTATTAACATCTGGAAGTGTTCTTCATGAATTTATTCCACTTCCCCTTATCTGAAAGTCATGCCCATTTCCTTTCTTCTGTCATTGAATATGATAGAAGAAAGGAATAAGTGGGAATAAGTTTTGGAAGCAAGAGACGGCGTATAACATGTTGCTATTTACTGTAAGCAAAGTCAAGACTTTCTCGTTGAGCTCAAATGCTGGTGGCAACATAGATACAATCAGTGCTTTTTTTGTAAAAAAAAAAAAAAAAAAAAGGTGCCGGAGCTCACACACGTTATACAACCCGCCTTGCCTATCCTACAAGGTTCCATCCAAAAAAGGTGCCGGAACTCCGTTCTGGGCGTTCTATGACAAAAAAAGCCCTGCATACAATTATGCAGTTCCATGGCAGTAATATGGAGTGCTTTGCCATTACTTCATTCTCGCATGCTTTCCTTTCCTGTATGGGTAATGCTGTGGTATTCCTTGGCGGTCCCCCTTTGAATGGAAAACTAGGCCCAACCTTACTAAACTTCTGAGTCTAGACAAGGCCAGATAAGTGCTGCCACCTGCTGACAACCTTAGTTTGAATTAGGGATGTGTTGTCTTATTATTTATTTGATGGAGGGAAGAGCACCAATCCATCGTGCTAATACTTTGGCATTTAATATTAGTAGAGTAGCCAGTTTCTATGAAACATTAGTATTTGATGAACAAATGAACCTCTTGTTGAAAGATCCATCTAGCTCTCATGCTTTATTTTTATTTATTTATTTTGGCTATTTAATTGGGAATATTTTTCTTTTGCGCTGCAAGATATTTAGTATAAAAATGTATTTCATTACTGACAATATTTTTAATTCTCTTGATATCTTTCCTTTAAATCACTTCAGTGTTTGAAAACTTGCTAAACATCTATTATTTGATTTTGATTTCTGAAGCACAGACAATCCTTTGGAAATATGTATAAGTACGCTGTGTGAATGTGTGTGTGTGTGTGTGTGTGTAAAACGTTTATATAGCCACCCAGAATTTGATAAAGAGAAGTTTTAAAATGCTCACAAAATGTCACTCTTTAGTCTTAAAAAGGCAAAAAGAGAAAACAAATGAAAACTTGAAGATGGTCACAAAAGAACTTTCACCGCATATATGTATAAACATTTGGAAGCCTAATTTCTGCTTTTATAATAAAAGTCTCAATTATGTGCCCTTAAACGGTCTGGAAAAACTTATGAAATTTTATTTCCTAAACATTTTCTTCATTCATGTGATAGTGTCCATTGATAACAGTGATCAGAAAATTACGGAAGCCGATTGTTAAGCTCCATGAATAATTCACATAACAATTTTATGTAAGATACTTCACGTTCCTATAATTTGAGTTATAAGTCTTTCCTTTTATCAAATATACATTCATAATACCAATGGAGACTTTTCTTCCAATATTTAAGATTTATGGCAAAAAAGTAATTTCATAGTCTGCATCATTCATTTATATTTGACAAACATCCATTTTATTATTAATATAGAATCTGTATATGGATTTCCAATTTTTTCAGAGAGCATGTTTGTTATTTGCCATTATAAAGCACTGGATTAAAATTGAGTAGCTCTCTGAACAATGTTTCCAACTTTATATTATTCATTAACCTTCTTCTCATAAATTATTTGGATACAGATTTGTTGTCTTTGCTTCATATATTATATAATCGTGGTTGATATTTTTACTGTTGTGTCTTCCTTGTGGAAACAGAAAGTTCAATTGATATAGGAAACAATGCTCAATAACATTCCAAGAAATGGAACTGGAGTAACCAATGTTCTTAGAATTATTTTGTGCAAACTATTTTTGAGGGCGGGTGAAGAAGTAGAACATAGACATGTCAGTAATCAGTAGTCCCCAAGGCAGGGAAAGAAATTCAAATCTTGCATATTTTATATTTAATTTTTTAATTTAAAATGTTAAGTTAAACAAAATAATTTTAATTTATTCAACACTACCAGTGCATGCATAGAAGGATAATATTCTTTTCAGTAGCAGCCCCTTCTACTTTATTATACTGCAATGGTGAAAATCTGATACTGTTTAGAACACAGTACTTTATCCAGAATACGTAAGGCAGGTGGCTACTGAAAAGTGGCCAGGGGTGAAGGAATTTCTCCTATAATCAAGTCAGAATCTTGCTATTTGTATGTGCTTATACCTTTGTACACTAAAGTGCACACCTCTCAAGATATTCCTTTTAGTTATTAAATCTCTTTGAATTCTCACTGTTGGGAGTCCAGTTGAATTCTTCAATACATTTACAATTAGCTCAGCATCTATCAGTCAGGGATACTTACATAATGGGTGGCTTTCCATGGAGTGTCTTTATTGAAAAAAAACACATTTGAAATAAATATAAAGAATTGTCACTTTCATGGCATTTTAGCCTTTCAGTACCAGATAAATGCCTTAATAAGATTTTCCTTGATCCTTTCCTAGGAAATTAAATTTAAATATGAGCAATTATCATAAGTTAAAAGCCCTATTTAGGGGAAAATGTACATCTTTTCTGTGAATTGAGTTGTATTTTAACTAGCAGCTTATAAAAGCATCATATTTTGTACATTTTGTTACCAATAAGAAAATCCATAGGGACACATGCATTGTTCTATTCCCATGAATAGCTTATTTATACATTAGGTCCTGCACATGAAATATAGTTGATAGTCATGAAGTATCCCCTACTCTAAAATTAAAATTAAGAAAGGAGAAATGACTTGGCGTTACAGATGGTAATATATTTCCTCCGCTTGTTCCTCTTTAAGAAGTACCACTTCTCATTTTGTGATCTTTGACATTCCTTTGTAGAAATAGTACTGGCACAGCAACCTTTCAGATTACCTTTACACCTGTAACTTGAATTGTGAGGCATAATATACATTACTTCTATTTGTTAATTAAAATTGTTTTCTTCATTACCAAGAACAGGGGCTTTAAATTATTTTATTCAACAACCTGTTGTTTTGTGAGTTATGTATTTATTTGTATCTAATTAGATGTGGTGTTTAAAATCATGACATAATTCTAAATAAATGAGGCGTCATTGCTTAATGAATATCAGTGAATGGCAAAAGGATGTGATTTGTTATTCTATTTTGCCAACAAGTATCATCAGTTTAGGCAATTAGAATTAAATGTGGATTGTGTGAGTTGCATTCATAACTGTCACTATAAAAGCAGCATATTTAATGAAGAGCTTCTTCTCTGTTTATATAAGGCTTTAGAGTCTGTCTTGAACTGATATTGGATACAGCGGTTGTTTTTAAAAATTCTCTGTTTAGATATAATTCACACTTAGCACAAATATAATAAGGAATATGTTTGAAACATGAATGCATAATTGGCATTATTTTATGTGGAATTAATTCATTTTATTAAGTTTGGTATATTGAATTTTCACATTGTTGAGGTGGAAATGAATTACAGTGGCTGTAGTGATTTGTTTCATTTAAAATCAGGACAAATGAAGAAAAATCCGATTTCCTAACTCCCAGTCTATTTTTTTTTTTTTGCTTGGAAGCAGATCAAAAGTCACACCTGCTTTTGGCAGATTGTTTTGAAGACATGTTCCAAGTGATTTGTGCGAAGATGGCTAGTTCCTTTAAAAAAAAAAAAACCCCTCACTAACTATCTGGAGATGTTCCAGGAGAAAACTGCATCAATATACCCACTAATTTTCCTTATCAGTCCCTGTCCTATTGTAGATCATTGTAGTAAAGGACTAATGTGCTGGAAAAACATCCAGCTAGCAGCTTCAATTTCCTTTTTTTGGAATCAGATTAAACATATTAGAAACCACAGTAAAGTCAGAAGATCAGTTTAGAAGAAAGAGCTCT